AACCCAGCAGGAGTAAACCCACCAGTGTCATCGTGATAAGAAGGCCACCTAACGCCTACTTGATGAAGTTGCAGGAAGTTAATATGTAACACAATTCACTCCCACCAAACGGTACCCACTTGCTCTTCAAAGCGATCCAACAGGGGCCGTGAAAATACAAAAATCTGTTCAATTAACGTTAAGTGATGTGTTCCGTCATGACAATACGTCACCAATTTGTATCCAATATTCAAACACCATGTTTGTTTCTTGTTAAGCTCAATGCAATGCAATAAGCGGTATGTGCTGCATCCATCATGGGGATCGAACCCCGAATATTTAAGAATTCATATCCAAAATCAAAGCTACAAATGTGATCTATCAACTGAGCGCTAGAAAAAGTTAAAAAACAATAAAAACACGATAACTCTGAATCAACAAAAGAAAGCACAACGAAAAATCAATATTGTAGAAAAGTCCATCAAAACTCTTAACACGTCACCGCAAAATTAAGAACAACAACAAAAAAAAAGTGAAGAGGAAGAAACCTTAATAATCACTTCTAAGAGTTTGTTTGTTCGTTTTGAATTTCGCGCAAAGCTACACGAGAGCTATCTGCGCTAGCCGGCCCTAATTTAGCAGTGTAAGACTAGAGGGAAGGCAGCTAGTCATCACCACCCACCGCCAACTCTTGGGTTATTCTTTTACCAAGGAATAGTGGGATTGACCGTCACATTATAACACCCCCACGGCTGATAGGGCAAGCAGGTTTGGTGGGATGAGGATTCGAATCCGTGATCCTCAGATTACGAGTCGAGTGCGCTAACCACCTGGCCACTTCTAACAGAAGTCATTTCTCTGGTCTCAACTACAGTAGAGATCACGTGATACAGTAAAATCGGACCGTAATTTGTGGTTAATATTATTCTTATGTTTTAACAATAGGCGTCGTGTGTGTTTGAATTATAATAGTACACGCGTGCAGCCGATAGTGACAATACGAATTATAATTCTTCCGATTATGACCGGAACTGTCAAAAACGTTACTTTTATAGCAGGTTTTTGCTCCCAGTCTCTCCTAGAGACATAGTATTTAGCTAAATATAGCCTATTAAAACAAAACTCTTACGAAGTTCCACTTTGTAAAGGAGTCGTTTCAGAAGCAAATGCCACCAGTCTTAAAGATTTTACCTGTATGCCTTACATTTTTTATTTTTAACGAATTTTAGCAAAGTGTAATATATGTACAAAATTACAGAAGTTAATTAATGAATGTACTTCATATCTTCGTATGGTTACAAAAGTCATCTCCAGTGTTCTGTAGTACACGTGTGAAAATAAAACATTATTACCTCTGGCCGTCTAATGAAACTAATTTATTGAATACGGTTTACAGTTGCGGCTTTTCTTCCTTTTTTTTTCAAGTAAAAAGTTAGGACACTTCCATTAACTTCAACTGAATCCTCGTGTTACTGAACTCATTCATTTATATCACAGCCCAGTGATTTATTACACTGTTCTAATCTATATATACGTTTTGAAACTAAAATTATAGACTGATTAATTTTATCAGCATTAGCATTTGTAGTTCATGAATTCTGCTTTAAAAATGCTAATTTAATTTTGTTTTAAAAAAAGGTGTCGGTATTGTACTGGTAACAGTTAGTGGTATCGCATGGAAAATGACGTCACACGACGCCCCCTCGTGTCGAGTAATGTTAGGCTTACAGTTAGATAATCCAGAGCCCAACAGAAGGTTTATGCCACGAGTGCCCCCTTTCGGCCGACCACTTCATCCTTTTGGTGGTAAGTATAAATAGTTTTTTATTTAAAGTTTTACAGTTTCTTTTATAAACTTTTAAAGGTATAATCCGTATCAGAGGTTTACTTTCTTTATAAAATTAATGCTTTTGAAGTTATTTTAAGTGTTATAATTATTAAATATTTATGTTTTAAGATTACTTTGGAGATGAGTTTGCGACTTTTTTTGAGTTATGATTATAATATATTTTTATTCTTGCATTTACTAATGTTTCATGTATTTAAAACTGGTAGTTTGGAAATAAGAACATAACGTAGTATACCATTGTTTCACCAGGGGGTTTTCCTAATGTGCAATTGTTCACAAATTGTGCAGCTGTAAAAATATTTGTGCAGTTGAAAATTCACCTATATAGCTCAAGTGGATAAATATTAAAAAAACATATTCAAGATTATAAAATTCCATTTCAGAGTTGATAAATATATGTATTTACTAGAATATTCTTCATTTTTTGGATCGGTTGTTACTAGGCCTGTATATGTGAGGTGCAATAAGGCGTCATGTGTTAAAAAATGATGAAGTTAAAATATAATTGGAAAAGCTCTGCGTTTCGCAGTGCATTTATAATGAAATTAAAACACAACAGTGTTTAAGTTGTACGCATACGGTATCAAAATATCACTGAATAATAGTAATGCTATTTGCAACACATTTGTCTGCTGTAATACACACACATCTGATATTACCTCTGCCAGCAAAGGTGGATGGAGGTTATGTTTCCCCCTGTGTGTGTGTGTTTGTCATCAAGGTTTCTCAAAAAACGGCTGAATGTATTTGGACGAAGGTTTATAGACATTTGGACTATAACCCAACTTAGAAGTTATTCGTTTTTGGAGGGCCAAGGTTAGAGGTTAAGGTCATAGAAAGGTCACGAAAATCTAAAAATCCCTATCTGTTAACATGGGGACCAATTTTTCACACTATCTTTGCTCTATAAGTCAGTCAAAAATGACCGGATTTTAATGAAACTTGGTGGACACATGTAAAATATTATTTCTCATTGTCTTGCTAAAAACAGTTCGTGTCCGTGTCAACGACAGACATACGGACACATTTCCGTATTTTTTTGAGAGCCGAATATGATCAACGCTGCGTGGCGGAGGCATGCGCTCTACTGAGTGCTCCTCTAGTTTCTATTGTAACACTTTCTTCAAAAACGCTAGGTTGCACGAGTACCAACTTACAAAACCTAGTTCTAAAACAGGGTTAAAAGGTCAACATCAATCAAAATATTAGGCTTAACTCAGCTGCACTGGTGTTTTGGGAGAATAATGAGGCCAGAGTGATACGACGTGTGCCAATGGTGTGCTAGTGAAGAGCCTATAACTTCATATGTGACATATTGATACACACTTCATTTTGAACAAACAAAGCCTTACTTAGGTTATAATATAGCGTTCTGGATGTTTTAACGTTTTCGTTGTGGTTTCTCATTTCATTACGTTAGGCTGATTTAAAATTTGATTTTATCAACTCCACGTGTAATCGCTTCCTTTAAATTATTTTGAATACTTTGTGAATTTTACCATTTTCTTCGATTGAAATCTATCTTTAACACATATGAATATAATACAAAATTATTTGCTTGTTTGCAAGAGTTTTTTTTAACCCATTGCAAAATATACTGTGGTTTGGAAGCTATTTACACACAAATTAAAGCTACGTTCCAAAATGATAAATACGATATGCAGTTTGACAAAGAAAAAAAAAAAGACTGAAAGTAGATTTGTAATGGTTTGTTTTTCAAATATACAAAATAAATAATATGAATTGCAAAAGATTCTACTGCTTGCTCTTCTACACGTATCAGCTGAGAAAATCTGTAGATATATAGTAAAAGTGTGGCGATACAGTGATAAGATACGAGTATCATATCGTTAAGCTGTGTACGATTGTATCGATACATCGTCCGATACGACACGATTTATGTATCTTCACGATATTTGGCAAGCTTTCAGTAAATATTGTAAGTCTTTTGTACAGAAGAAAATTAGAATTTCTAATAAAGTATTTTTGCTAAAAATTAATGATTCA